TCTGATTGCCCGGCTTATACTTCACCTCGAAGTTATATTTTGCAAAGAATGAGAGCCAACGAGCCATTCGCTGAGAGAGATGTGGCGACTGGGTCGTAGTGCGTAATGACGCATGATCTGTAAAGGTCACAAAAGGCTTAGAGCTAAGCAGCTAAACTCTGAATTTGACTAAATCATTCTTTATTGCAAGTAGCTCTTTATCATCAACTGGAAAGTTCTTTTCAGCAGCTTTTAGCTGTCGGGACCCAAACTCATCGACGCCTTCCCGTCCATCAACATATGTTTGTGACAGAGCACTGTCTATGGCAAATTTAGATGCGTCACAGACGACACTAAAAGGTCTATCAGGTCCGGGCAAAGTTAAGATTGTTGCATATAGGAGAATCTCCTAAACTGCTTAAAAAGTCTCATGCTCGGTGCTAGTCCAGCACCATTCTACATTTTTTTAAGGATATTGAATAATGACCGAGCCATGTCTGCGTAATTCGCTCTGTACTTGTGTAAGTAATTGACAAGGCCAAGCCACTTAAGTAAGTCCTTTTGGTTCTTTGGAACCGGCCAATCAACTATAGCTTTTACCTTAGCGAGATCCGCTCTAAGGCCTCGCTTATCAATAAAGCACTCTAAAAAGGGAATTTGTTCTGCATCAAGGATGCACTTAGACGCGTTAGCGTACAACTTGTTCGTGCGCATGCATTCGATAACCGCTCTTAAAATGGTCAATATGATTTTGCACATCCGATCTACCGTTAATAGCACTGCTACGGACAAAGATATCATCACAGTATGTCTATGCATAACCTCGGTGAGGTCTGAACAACTGCGTCACGAGACGATTAAACCAAGCGGGGGCGTTTGATAACCCTTGAGGTATAAGTAGCCAGTCCTAGGGCATACCGCTCGAAGTGCTGGCCGCAGTCAGCGAAATAATGATCTCTTGCATGAGTAATTGGTAATTACCATCGACTAGGTCGAGCGCGCTGTATAATATACATCCCACCACATTGTTCTGAAGAACATCCTCCCTCGGGATTTGTGTCTGAGCCGGGATGGTATCAGCATTAAGCTTATTGTAAGCACGAAAAATGCGCCACTTTCCATTAGGCTTTCTGTCGCAAAATGTTGGTGTGGAATGGAGATATTTGATCTTACGAACTATGATAGACGCGTGATTTGCACGAAAGGAGTCGTCAATGACGTTACACTGTTCCTTTGGTAAAAGCCACTGCCGTGTTACGAAGTATTTAGTTCCATAAATAAAGTCGATTTCATGACGTAGACGTCTATGGGGAGGTAAGACTGACGGTAAGTTGTGACACACCACGTAGTGAAACTTCTTTACTAAATAATTGAACAGATCAAGGGGGTCCTTAAGGATCGAAAATTCACTACGAGCACCCAGTACCACCTTTGTGGCTTCAAAGACAGACTCGTCCAATAATGAGGATGATATTAACTTAATCTCCAATCGAATGACCACTAACTCGGATAATTCTCCTGCCTGTAAGGCTTGGCTAAATTCGCCGTCTGACATTTTGTCAAGTTCAAAGAGATTATGCAAGGATGGAAGGGTCTCCAGACGGATATCGCCATCAACATTGCCAGTCACTTCATTGACAAGTGTATACAGTGTATTATAATGATGTCGATTATCATTTCGTGACGTCCCCGACGTTGGGCGCTCAACTGTTTCCACCCTACGCTTCGATTGTTTCCTCAAAGAAACCTTATGCCTCTTAGAGGCCGGGACAGCAAAGTCCCCGTGGTTGCTATTCATCTTAGCACGATCTATACGAGAGCTCATGTTGTGAAAGACATCTGGTAAAGAGTTACGTAACTCAAACACTTCAACCAGTGGATTTCCACGTACCTCTTCACGTACAGCATCCGGGACTAGCCCTGAGCACTCTGTCGTCTCGCCAACAATGTCATCACCGACATTAAGTGAGGTGCCATCGCGGCCTCACTCACTCGGTGGAATTTCACGCGCCACTCCGCGAACATCAGAGGAATTACATTCTTGATGTCTCGGCCCTAGGTTAATCATGCCTGCAGCGTGCATTGACTCATTATCACAAAAAGTATCACTCAACGAAGTACAACTCTCTTCACATACGGTGAAAGAGCTGCGCTCAATATTCATGTCATTGGCATTATATTTAATTAACTCGGACATACCAATTTCTAGCACGTTGACATCCTCTTGCAATGGCCCGCACCAATAGTGCTTCTGTTGCCTAGCAAAGGCGGGTTCACGACTCTCCGAAGCTTCGCTAGGAACATTGCGCGTTGCACCTAAGGTCTTAGACCTCCAATCAAATCATGGCTCATGGCTTTCAAGCCATGCCATGCCGAAGATGAGATCTTATCTCGAATCCAAGTCAAGGACGAGACCGCGTTCAATGCTGTCAAAGTTTAAAAACTTCACGCCCAAGTTCAACGGAACGTTAGGCACATTGACACGACTACCAGTCAATAAACGAACAGTGATCGAATAACCCTCATGCGCTTTGAGCGGTTCAGAGTATCGCTGAATTCCCTCAAGGAAACGACGTCGAGCATAATTGCATGATGCTCCGGGGTCGATTAGGATCGACCAATGCCTTTTAAAGCCTCTCACTTTCGCCTCGGCGACTAACAAGCCAGGCTTGTATCCACGCTCTATGCTGGCGGGCACAGAGCTCATTGTAGATAGGTTCTGCTTTTATCCACCACGTAGATATTTAATAGAACCTGCTTCTACCTCAGTCAATAAGGCGCCCCGCGACTACTGGGTATCGAAGATTTCCTGTGCCAAATCAGACTTCTGGTGGGGCTCGAGTTCCAACTCATAGGATTCTGGCGCTGCATGCGAAAATGACAAGTAGGATGCAAGTATTTAGTACTTTCGCACATGTAACAGTGTCAAACTTTCTGTCGTTGCTCTGCAATATGAATCTCCGCTTTGCCTTCATCTTCAGCATAGATGAGATCATCGGTTCTGGCTTACAGTAAGCCGGGGTGTTTGTGGAGGTTTTCCTCACAAAGTTTGGGTTGTACCTGTTCCAACCAATTCTGGCCGACTTGAAGTTGTGCTCCGCATTTTGAGCGATGCTCACCGCCTCTTCAAAAGTAAATGGATGGACCCGAAAGACCTCGATTATGCTTACTCCAGTCAGATGGCCTTCCATGAAGACAGTCACGTAGACTGTCTCAGAAAGAGGGTCGGACTCATAGCAGCCATCAGAGTTCTCAACTCCTGGACATAGTCCGCTAACTCGTTCTTACCCTGACGGGTAGACAAGAAGCGTGAGTACACGCGATAGGCCCGATTAGGCGGCGAGAAAACTCGCAATAGGTCTAACTTGAGCGAATTCCATGTGGGATTCGCCAAGTCGACCGACGTGCCGCACGTCAAAGCCAATTCTCTAGATCTTCCATCGAGCTTTGAGATGACCAGCGAGACTCGCTGATGCTCGATTGAGATCAATCCAGATCTCATGGCGATCTCAATCTCACGGATCCAGAGAATCAAGTTTTCCCCCTCCTTCCCGGAGAAATGTTTAACGTCCACCCGAATGGGACGAGGCTTAGCCTCTTCTGGTGGCATCTCCACATAGCGTGTCGGCATAGCCGACGCTACCTGGTTTTAAACCTGCCTTAAAAGGGCCGTTTTGTACTGCTTGAAGGTCTCGACTCGTGCATTGAGCACATCGGGACCTTGTGCAGCTAGAAAATTCACATACTCTGGGCCAACGGCCACGATGAGCTTCTCAAGCGCGGCCTTTTTGGCCTCAGAGAGGGGGTGGATGGCTCCATCCTCACAGAGGATCAGTCGTTACCGACTCAGACGTAGAAATACTACAAGTGCTACCAAGTGTAGCGGAGCTACACAGCTCTTTAATTCAGAGGAAGACTTAACGCTCTTACGAGCAACTTTGGTTCTACGAACCCGACTCAGAGAGTCAAAAAGCTCAGAGAGCTTACGGTCCCCGTTCCTAAGGGACCAAACGATTCAAAAGAATCACAGCACAGAGTGCTCAGGAGTAGCTACCTTCACAGGTATTGCTAGCTCCTACCGATCAAAGACGCCTCGTAAGGCACGTGTCTTTCAGTGATCACAAGGGGAACTGAATTTTTATTTCTTTATTAAACCTAAAAGAGCACCTTAGAACAACGTATTTAACCTGCCCTAAATAACCTCTTAAAAGATCTCGTAATCAATTGATGACAGACATCAGTCTTCAACAATTGATACACTCACTGTGTTCTAAAAATTACTGTATAGGGTACCCCCTCTCTTGTGTGCACCACACCTATCGTCGACTACCAGCCGACGTGTAACCCCGTTACATCTTGTGTGACCTCCCATCTGTCCACGTGCTTTGCCCCTGCACGAAGAGCTGTATCCGCTGCTGTGTCATTACAATCTGACCCTTTCACACACTCCTCAACACATTGAGAGTCACGATGAACGAACCGATTCGCTGACAATTCGCTTGAGCAAATGCAATTACGAACCAACTTCAGTATCAAAGTGAAACAATGTATTCAAAGCTTATGTTGTTCAACGAGTCTACGCTTCCAAGATGTCCTGCCGGGCGCTCTTCGAAGGGTCCGGACGAATGCGGTCAATGCAACGCCGTCAAGTCACGAGAAAATTTCCCGCTCAAATATTCGTCAGCTGATTCTTCATTTCATCGCCGGTATTAAGCAGCAGCACCCCGCATTGAGTCGAACAACTACACACGACGATTGATTTCGTTCTCCGCCACTGCCATTCAATCCGCCGCAGCGCGCCCCAATGATACAGCTCGCTGCCGATCTGCTTCGAATCGGAATTCAATCGTTGATGCTCCAACGAGTTGATCTTCTCTTTCTTCAGTGCATGTACAGCAGCTTCTTCGACTGTGCCCTCCGCGCGTTGTCTTGATGCCACACCCGCGCTTATGCCTCCGCGATGCCGTCACGCACAATCTTTCCCTCATCCATTTTTTCCAGCGTCTCTTCTGCTTCTCTTATTACATGTGACGTCGCAACATGTGCTTTGATGCGTACAACTCAAATTCAGCCGCTGCCTTTTTCAGCTGTGCCTCTGCTGTCTCTACTTGACCGGCCGCGCGAATCACGTGCTCATTTTTGGAATCAGTGGACTTACCCTTTTCCCTGAGGAGCTTCGCCACTGCGTCCTGCAATTGCTTGGTTGCGCGTTCCCGATTACTGATTACCTGGTAGATCTTCCCAATCGACTCGTTCTCGAGACGTTTCTTCATGCTGCGTTGCGGCTTCACCCTAAGGCGCGCTATTGCCTTAGCCTCTAAGCTGACCGGTGATGTACTGAAGCTCACTTGCCGAGCGTTAGCAACCTTTCCCATGACTGGTTTGAACGATGCCATAGTCCTATCTTCATCAGCGGCATCGATCGGCACGTCGCGGTCCGGATCGCTGCGCTTGCTCTTCGTTTCAGCTAGAGGGTTGGACGCTCGGCTCGGCGTCAGCAGCTCGGTCGCAATTCCAGCTGCTAGAGTCGAATGGGCGTTGCTGCCAGCAAACACGATGAGCGCTAGCACAAGGAGACCGAAGCACTTGGTCATTGATCCAGACGTTGGGGACAGTCGCTTAGCTATGGTCAGGGGCAGCTTTGTAGGCACGAAGTGGCAGGTGAGATACAAGTTGGGAAATGAGAGAGTTGGAGTGAGGTCTTCGAGCGCGTGGTAGGCGAGTGACTTGACATCCGTCCGTCTCTGAAAGAGCAAAGCTTTAGAAATTGCTTGTTGCCGGGAAGACCTCACTCTGTCCATCCACGGTCGTCTGCTTGAATTGGTGGCGTCAATCATCGGGCTGGGCCACATGGAGCCGGGGAAGCATGTCGCTTTGGCACGGCTTAGCACCAATCGAAGTATCAAGTGTTGAGGTGGACGACGTTATATGACGCTGTGCGTGTCGGAAATGACCCAGAAAGAGCTGGACGAGATATGCGATTGTAAAGGCTCTGCTTCGCATAATTGTGAGGGATAGGAGCAGCCACGGTTGCTGTGCCAACTTTAAGAGCCAGGCGCTGGGCCAGAGGGATGCGCTGGCTGAAACTTGTTGATGCCAGATGTTACTGAGGAAGGGCTAGCAGACATGAGTGTCCTAGATCGAGGCTCACATGTGTAACGGTACGCATAAACGCCCGTCGGCCACGAGCGCCCACGAAACAAGTGGCATTTGATTCGTGTCACGAAGTTGCCGACAGGTGTCGTCGCCACTCATAGGGTCCGTTCATTTGAGCGCGCGTGAACATCACCGCTTCCACAGCAGTATTACGGGCAATCGCTAAACGAAATGGAAGTCGATGGAGAATGTCCCAAGTCTAAATTGTTGAATGAACCGCTTTCCCCATGACCGAAGATGCCGTGCCTCTTTGCTAACTCTTCCGGATCGGCTCATTCCAGCGGGAAAAGTTTCGCATGTGGTGCGACTTTCCGAAATCCACATCGTTCGCAGCGCTTTGGTTTGGGCAATCGTTGAGTCGTTCCCGCTTGACGACGACAATAGGAGCTGCGACTTGCAGAAAAGCTGTGTTGAAAAATCCTACTGCTTACATCGATAGTGCACGACGTTGCTTGGTGTCGCAAAGCGTGGCGCTACTTGGTGTTGCCTCTGTGACACACACGGCTTGTGCATTCGGCAATCGAACACACAGTCCTCCAAAAAACAATCCGCTCGTAAGTGCATTGATATCGTCAAGCATGACATCAGGATGAGTCCTGCACATGAAAATGAGGCGCTTCCCGAAAGGTACGTTGCAATCGTGCAAATTGGTCCTAGAAGCCGGAAACGTAGACCGGCAGCTGGCTGCTTCAAGCTAGAAGAAGCAGCCAAGAAAAGCTTCGATTGCCTATCGTACAACCCACCCACGACAGCTGTTTGAGACACGGACGTGTCATCCGCTCGACACACTGACAATCACGTGTGAACGATGCGTGTGTGTTCGTTGTGTACCTACCGTCAAGATGAAGAGTGAGGAGAGTGTGAACCCAACGCGTTTGGCCAATAGTTGGCTCACACAGTTGCAGACGCACTTGTTACCGTCGTTCGGCCCATCGAAGCAAGAGCGGGTATGTCCACGTTATGTTTGAAGAGATGGGCAGTCAGCATCGAATTATCTCTAGCGCCAGTCCGGCGTTTTCGCTGGCGTCGTACCGACAAAGACTGTCCTGACAAAATTTTGGTGGCAAAGCTAGCTTGCTCGGAGAGAGTTCACACTCGAAGCTTGGCGAGAACCTATGCGAATGACCAATGCCATGACATGTCTCCTCCTTCTTGTAGCAAGGCGACAGGGCTGAAGTACAGACCATTACGTCGAACAGGATGGGGCCCCATGCGTGGACGATAATTCTAACATGTCTTACCGAGGATAGTTGATGTAGAGCCCAACAAGTGCTAGACAAGCTTTGTTGTGCCATCGTGTCACATTTCTCGAACAGCAACTGCGTTTGTGCAACTATCGCAGCTCGCTCGCAATGCATTGCTGCGTCTCGTGGGGTGAGACAAAGTGAGACAACATGCAGTGATTCATTTGTTGCCGTCCGTTCTTGTGACCGAAAACGTTTACTGGCGGATAGCAAGTTTGGAACTAGTGAAGAAGTACGTGCAAGTAACAATGAGGATATCAATAACGTTGAACACCTTGGCGCGTTAAACTTGCGCTGTCGTGTTTAAGTCTATTCTGTTTGACTTGGGGCAAGGATAAAAGCAGAACTAACATGACTTATAGACGTAGGCAACAAAAACAGCAGTCCACACTAGAGCTCCCAGGGTTCAGTTTATTTAGAATGCTCATGTTGCCAGCGGCAACGTTTCGTCGCCAATTGAGTGAGCACCACCACAAACTGGATTGCAAAGGGGAACCACCATTATGCAATGGTATCAATGGCGGCTTCCTTCGACTTTTGTGTAATTTGACAGCAAGGAACCCCAAAAAAATGAATTCTGTAACAAAGTGAGGATGTAGGCGGGCGCTTTTTAGCTGCTCCGCACTACCGCAGCGTACACCTTCTGCGCACAACGAGGAAGCGGTTTAACCCGACTTCTCTCGCGTGTCGCGAGGGTTTGCTGTGCGGGCTCCCTTTAAGAGGGGCCTCGCAAGAACTACTTCTAGGCTAAGTGTCGCGGAGTGCTAACCACTTCCTGCGACCACTCAAACAATAGAGAGTAAATGTAAGACTGATTTATATTTAATGTAATTTAATATAAATCTGATTGACTATTAACTAACACATTGATTGGACGCGCGCTCCTGTGAGACGCGGCCCCTACGCGGCGATCTCTAAAGATCGCGGATGACGCCGATCGATGACGTCATCTCGTGACGTCATGCTTTGACGTCACAATGATATGTCTTGTGTGTTCACACCAAGAACAATATCAGTGTGGCTACACTTGTGTGTATCACACACACTTGAGTAAGTACGCCTTAGCTGAACCACTCAAGTGCTAGGCCTAAGTGCGTCGGCGCACTTAGGACCTCACTTTAGTCAACGTTGCACTAAAGTGACCCAGACTTTTGTGACCGTATGACAAAAGTGCGTGGGACGGGGTTGACCCCGTTACACCATCCCCCTCTTTAGAACGATTCTTACTTCATTGTGAAATAGACTAAAGAAGCACGTGGACAGCGAGCCGTATTAAACGTGCCGCTTGTCCTTTAGTGTGCGTGTTAGAACTGCCTATGAAAACACTCGTGAAAGTGTTACCGCACGGCGTTCGCATGCCACCTAAGCGTACACGGGTTGATGGGTCACCTGCAAAGGCACCCACACATCCTAGCGATAAACACGCGCGTTGCGAGAATTCGCCGACGTCGCAGAGCACTGCTGTAACGACGTCGACAGCTACTGAAGCTGTCGCGTCGTCGACAAGCATAATCGATGTACCTCCCGCACTCAGTGCGGAGGATGATCCTTCTCTCGTTGTAGATTACAACGAAAGTACGCCGCTGCCGTCACCAATGAGTGACGAAGACAGTGAGCGACTGTGGCATGGTGCTGGTGCTGTCAAGCCCACCGCCGATGACCACAATGCTCCTGTAACAACGACTGCTGGTGATGTGGTGGCGTCAATGCCTACCGACAATCAACCAAGTGTGGTGTCGTCTGTGCAACCTAGCACGACGACCATCAAAGAGAGCGCTACCGAAGGTGCAGTCGCCTCTACGCTGTTGCCAGCTGCGCCTGAAGTCATTGACCTTTGTGTTGAAGTGTCTGACTTAGGCGCTGTTGAGCACAAAGCTCAACAAGGGACACTGGACCTAGGCCCATCAGTGTCACAAGCGCGCCGATTAGAAGGCCGTTATGCATCCGGTGGTGTTCCACCGATGCCACCACCATCATAATGGCCAACTTCGGATGGGTCTGGTGCAGCGCTTTTAGCGACTGCAACCATAGACGTCCATAAGTATTATGGCGTCTTTCCTAAATGGATATCGGAGGGTAAGATGCTTGGCCGCATCTGCCCTATTCCTGTCGTGTTGTTTCCAAATGAAACAACCGACCAATATAAGGCGGCTTTCCTGCGCCGCTCCAAACCACATGCAGATGCAGTGAGGCAGCGGTCGCAGCGATTAAACTTCGCTCTCGACCGTGTGCGTATGTTAACGGGCGGTAATGTACCCCCTACATTATCGCGCTACGCCCCTTCCGCTGGTCCAACAGGACCTATCGGGGCTTCTGGAGCTGGTGTGCCTGCTCGTAAGCAGCAACCATCCCAGGCACGTCGACACGCAGTGCGTCAACCGGTTCCCAAGAGTCAAAGCTCTGGGGGTATCCTTTCCATTGGACAAGGATATGAAGCTTATGCTTCTTCAGCCGGTGGGCAACCAGCCTTCCAACAAGGAAGCGTTAGTTCCCTTCCGCGTCCACCAGCGATGGTGGCGCCCGACACGAGTGTTGACTTCGCTCGTTTGATCGCGACACACGCGACTGTTCAAACGCAGGCGCATGGCGCTGCCATTGACGGTCGGATCGTGGCGCTCGAGAGTCAAGTTTCGCAACTGACATCGACTTTGCGCGACGTCCGGATGAAAGCTCGGCAGGGTTACGACCGCCTGAAGCTCCGGATCGACATTTTGGAGCGCTTGGTGCTGAGGGACCCGCGTCAAGCGCGGAGTCCACCTCGCTCCTCAAGCCCACTGCCAAGCGGGGGTTATTGGTCTAATGGGAGTTACTCTCCGTCGCCATCCACTCCGCGGCACCGTGGCTATCGCATGGTCGACGTCGCGATCGCGCACGTTAGACTCATACGGATATGTGATCTATTGTGGATCTAAATATCGCTTTAAACGACCCACGTAAAAATCGGGGTGCGTCTTCATATATGGCGGGAGTGAGAGCCTATAGTTCAGGTCTTCCACTTCCTCGACCACGGTATATGGCCCAATAAAACGCGGCAGTAATTTAGTAGTACCCCCTGGGAGTACTGACACCGCATGTTTAGGTAGAGTACTTGTACTTAATAGTACTTTGTCTCCTACACTAAAGCGTTCATTGTTTTTGCGACCATTTCGGTCCGCATATTGTTTTTGCTTGTCCTGTGCGCTTGCCATGGCGTC